TATCATAGTTTCATGTTTAAATTTGAAAATGCAATGCAACATGCAAAAAATTATGGGCGCATTTTACCCGTGAGCCCCCCTGCTTGAGACACCCCTGACTAAAATTTTTAAATAGTTTTTATGTAGTTCATTAGAACATTCATTGGAGTGTCCAACATACTAAAATTCATAATGATATGTTAACTGGATTTGGAAATATTTTGAAAAATATGATCTCCTGAGGCCCCTTTTATGGGGGGCGTAGCTCCTTTAAGAAGCATTTTTCGACCCTTGTCTATAGGAAAAAATAATCTTATTTTTGATCGTACAATCTACTGCTAAAGTATTGCACACTAATTATGGGACACCCTGTATATTTAGTAGGTAATAGAAAATAAAAGTGAAAATTACATAATCAAATTTTGAGATATTTGAGATATTATTTAAATCAATTAAGTTTCATTTTACAGGTATTGCTTTAACAATACTTACCACTTTTTTCTATTTCTAAACTGGTAGCTGCATTAGAAGTATGATTGATTACATTTGATTTTATGGTTTCACTGTAATACCGATATTTCAAATATCTCTCTAGTAGAGAAAATTGGATATTCTTCAATTTATAATGCCACATTCTAGTGTTTTGATACGTTCATAAAAATAGAAATGTAACTGATTATTCAAAATGACACTTCACAATTTAAAAACTTCAATTGTTTCCGGATGCCTTCTACAAATGTCATATAATTATTTTTAGAGGAAGTACAGAGTGTCCCAATATTCTTTATATATGGAACTACGAAATTATTATAGCTAAAACAGGATAATTTAACCAAACAACTCTATTCAAAGTTCCATCGTTTAGCCGATAGATGGCGATAAAATGCACAAAAAAAATGTAGTTATTTGTAAGCAATTAAAACAGTTTGTCGGATTTAAATGAAAATTTGGCATATTAGTACCTGTATACAGATGTTACTTTTTGACATCTTAACCAAAGTAATTGCCTTTGCATAAGTGAGAAAAATACCCCTACTAATATGCTAATATTTTTCTTGTGGGTGATTTTACCAAATCTGTTCTCTTTTTATCGAAAACATTATTAGGGCTTTCTTCAAGTTTTCCCTCATATAATTTTGTTGATACAAAAAAATCTCATTTAATTGTCATAAAAAAATTGATTTACTTGATAATAAAAACTAAACAATTTAAAAAATTTAAAAACTTATAACCAAATGTTTTTTTACAAAAATTATTGGAATTATATAATTTTTGGTTACTCAAAAAAATATAATAGATAACAAATTTATTTTAACATTTATCTCAGATTTTTCTAAAAAATCATCAAATTTAACTGTGTTTATTCTTATATGAGGAATACTAAATTTTAAAATTAAAAAACATTAATTTGTTGAGAAACTACTGTTCATAAAAACTATAAAGAAAATTTGAAATGAATACAATATTTTTTTAACTAAATTATATTACTGAAAATTGTGATCATTTTCAATAGTTTTTGCAAAATAACATTTGACGTAAGTTTCGTAACTCCACAAAATATTATTCCGTTTTTATCATCAGCTAAATCAAATTTTTCATGACAAATAGGATGTGCATCCAAAATGTTTTTCAACGTAGCTGGGACTTTATGTTTATTTATCAGGGACGGCAAAGCAATTATAAGGGGATGTTTTGCACCTTTTCATATATTAGCATAAAATAATGTAGCAAAAAACTTGCTCCATATTTTTTTATTTCTGCTATACAGCATGTCCCACTAGTATGGGAAAGTCCAATATCTATGTTAAAATGAGGAATATATAGATTTTTCTTTTTACTTTTTACACATTTCTCGGAATGTACAAATTAAAAACATATTCAACTATACAGGGTGTTCCACTTTTCCTGGCCAGACACTGACTTTGGTTTTTTAAATGGATACACATTTTTTATATTTTTTTCGGATTCTACATAAAAAATAAAGGGTACTTTGTGTAGAATAGTTCTATTCAAATATTCAGTTTTTGAGATATCTCGCTTGAAAGGTTTTTCTAGTCGATATTGGCTGCTTATATTTTCTGATACTGACAGGTTATACTGATAGCTACTAAGCACTTTTTTTATCAGATGTTTAGTAAGGATGATTCTTCCGAATCATGCTCCAAAAACTGGCCTGCGTTATACAGGGTGACCAAAATATCATATCAAAATTGCCAATTGAAAAATTGAAATATCTCGAATTTTTTTAATTCAACACCCTGTATATTTTCATACCATGAGATGCAGAATTAAATTCTCTACAACTTTGCTATACCTGCTCCTATACCAAAATTCATTAGTTTTTCATGAAATCTCATTTCTATGAAAAAATGCGAAGTTTACAAATTATGTAAAATAACGCAGTATGCTCCTGTCAAAGGATAATCTGGAAAATTTTTGATTCACATAAGGTTTAATAGAAAAGCGACAGTAATAATTGTGAAATGAATTACTCTAAAGAAGAATTAGTAAATAAATAATAGAATAATTAGTAAAACTCATGGTAACTGTTTATTGGCAAGTATTTACCAAACTAATAATCCAGATTTACAAAGATATCCTCATACAGTGCTTTGTAAAACTGGAGGTTTGAAAGCACAACAAATGCAAATTATGAGAAGACAATAAGAACACACGCATGCAGTATCCAAAACAGTAAATTAACATCGTGCATTTCTAACAAAAGTAATAAAGACATTAATTTTTCTACTATTTTATTTGTACTGTAGTTGTAATCAGCTAAACCAAAATAGCCCTTTTGAAGTCCTGTTAAATACATTTCTAGCTGTCACATAAAACGTCTGGGTTGGTTTTCCTTTTTCCACATAATTTTTAAAAGTCTTCATATTCGTGCTACATTTAATTTCAATAATATTGTCTTCACATATTCCATCAGGCGATTCTGCTATCGTGGGATAATATTTGCAAAGCATTATACCATATTTTTTAAATTTTTTCCCCAAACAGGTACTTACAGTTTTCCTCACTTCATCCTCCAACATTCTATCGCGTTTCATGGCCGATGTCTGAGATTTTTCCTCCCATTATTAACGTGATCAGAGTTGCATCATTGGTTTTGCACCGACTAAATTCAAACGCTCGTGAGGCCGTCACTATGCCATATCTTAACTCATGCCAAAACAGCTTTGATGTTGGTCTCGTCTCTTCTTCAACTTTCATGTCATCTTCATCAGTCAATACGAGTTTTTTCAAAACTGTGTTGCAGGACTGTTCTTTGTATTCAGCACCAATTTATGCATGGACAAACTTTTAGACATGGTTTTTTTGATATTTTATTAACTCACAGTTGTTGAGCTTTATTATCTTTCTTCTTTTAGAAACTTTTCAAGTACCTAACGATTCCTGATTATGGTTTTGGTAACACAAAACCACAGAGTACCAACCAGAGACCCGAGTTGATAGGGAAATGTTGTCTCTGTTTTTTATCTTTGTCTGAACCTTATTAAACGCAATACTTCTCTCTTTGTCGCTTTAAACGTAAAACAGAGGTAGGCGGAGCTAGTGCTCGTTATCGGTATAGAAGAAATTTGAAATGGGTTTGGGAAATAATAATGTTTCTGATACAATTTGGTAGGTGGCGCTGGGTGGAAAATATTGAAGAGATCTATTTTTTGAATTTTATAAAATTCGATAGATGGCCAGATAAGAAAACGAGAAGTTGGTAAATTCAAAATACGTTCGGTAAAACTTATATTGTTTACAGAAATTAGTTAAATAGCAATGAAAATAATATTATTAACATTGTGGCGATCGCATTTTATATAACCTATGCATAGGTTACAGGTAAGTACGTAAGTAAGTAGTTAATTTAAATATATTACCACATATTACTTAAAAAAAAAAATGGTGCATTGGGGAATGTACTACCGTTTTTGGTACGTATTTTAAATCGTTTACGTAACGATAAAAAACATGAGTTTTGTCTTGCCTTTTCGAGCCTTCTGATTTTTCTCGTGTTTTAAATTGTTTAAAGTGATATATATGTGTATATATTTCTTTTTTACGCCATATCTTGAATCAAGTGATATATATTTATATGAATATCACGATTGGCATGCCAGAAATTCTAAAGATAGTACTTTAGTAGTATTTTAACTACGTATCTTTAAAGTAGCCATACATATAGCAATATCTGTTTACATATTTAGATAAATTATCTATTTCTTTCTTGTAATAAAAATTCTTCTATANTTGACACTTGTGACAATGACATTATATTGTATTATTTGTGGATATTCCGAAGAGGACGTGAAAAAATTATTCTGTTTTCCACGAAACTCAGAGAAGTAAGCATAATTTTTATTTTGACAAATATACATGTACATATGTATATATATTTTTCCTTGATGATATAAGTAAACTTAAATTACTAAATATGCGAAAAAAAAAACTCATCGGTCACCGAAAAATATATAATAATTTTGCTACTGTTATAAATTATAAAATATGATAATTATTTACTATAGCGTAAAACTCTCAAATGATAATAAAAATATAGTCCACTAATATTCTTAAATTTAATTTCGGCAACTTGTCTTTAATCTACTCATTGAATTGTGATAATCGCCTCCGTGGTCATGACTTAAAGTTAAAAAAAGAAAATTTTAAATCTAGAGTTAGGCAATACTTCCTGTCCAACAGAATTTTTACAATTTGGAATAATTTACCAGCTTCAATAATTGGTGCACCATCGCTTAATTCATTTAAAAATAGACTGGATGCTCACCTTTTGTAATAGATATTAGTTTTAAGTTAATTCTTTAATATGTTATGTTTATTATCCCTATTATGCTGTACATATTTTGTTAATTTTGGGTATAATAGGACGTAAGTCCTCTGCCCTAACCTATTTTGTAATAATAATAATAATAATAATAATAATAATAATATATAAAAGAGTAAGTAGTACTTATTATATTTATATCTTATTTAGGTATGTCTAATATGTCAGTATAATTTATTGTACTATATTTTAGATCCAAAATCTGGCAAAAATCCCTTGGTATGGTATATCACGAAAAATTATCTGCCCATATACGACTTTGTGATAAGCATTTTGAAAAAAAATGTTTCAAACCTTTTACAATATCACCATTAGTCCTCCATCGAGATGCAATACCAACTCTTTTCCCTGCAGCACACCATCAGGTATATCTAGTTATTAATTGCAGTGTAATACAAGTAAGTATATGTAATGTGATTGATTGAAAATTATATAATATTTGGTTCATGCGTTTCATATTTTAAAATAAAAATGTTAAAACTTAAATGAAAATATGAAATAGCATTTGTATGTTACTATTGTATACAGGGTGTTCGGAAATAGTGGTACTTCACTTTGAGGGTAGATTGTCGACTTAAAATAAGACAAAAATTTCATATAAACATGGGTCCGCAAATCAACCTTACGGGAGGTAAACGCGTTTGAAGATGACTTTGAATAAATGGTTTTTTGCCAATAACTTTTAACTGCTTTGAAGGAGAGAGATAAGTTTTGGCTGATGAGTTACTACTAAAGTGCAAAGAATTATTTGGTAGTACAAAAATATCCAGAAATTAACAGAACAATTTTTTTTTTAATAAAAATGTGGTCATGCACGCCACGGGTTATAACCTGGATCAACTAATACCCTCACATAATCATGTTTCTTAGTAGTAACTTATAACCCAAAACTTATCGCTCTCCTTCAAAGCAGTTAAAAGTTATTGGCAAAAATCCATTTATTTAAAGTAGTCTTCAAACGCGTCTACCTCCCGTAAGGTGGATTTGCGGACCCATGTTTATATGAAATTTTTGTCTTATTTTGAGTCGACAAATCTACCCTCAAAGTGAAGTACCACTATTTCCGAACACCCTGTATATAGATAATTAATAAAATTGATACACATGAAATAGTACGCATTTACCAATCTCAAAGTATGCATGAAATATATATCAACATTTTATTTTTTAAATCAACAAAATAATAAGTTTTGTAATACCTACCCGCCTATATAAAAATTTAATGTAGATACTTATGTTTATTTATTATTTAAAAAAGAACCACACACACTTTGTACCACACTTTTATTCTGAAAAATTTTGTTCTGAAATGAAACTGTATAAAAAAAAACAACTTCTTACTTCACATTTTCCCAACTTCTAAAAATATTAGATCCAAATATTCTTATATTGTAGGTACTCTGCATGCATATTAAATTGTGTTTAACAGCTAGGTATATACCAGCACATTATATGTTATATACCACTGTGTTTCTTACTTATATGTGATTGCAGGTTGCAGGTGATACTCCAACTCCATCAATATCTACTGAATTTTCACCTCCCATAACTGTTTCTTCTACTTCAACTTCTATGTATGAATTAATGGCCGATACAGTTGAAGGAACATCTAAACAAACATTTATTTCTGACACCTTGGAAGATCATGACGCTATACGGAAGACTTTAATAAAACCCTCCCTTTTTAAGGGAGTACAAAGAACAAATTCAACTGAAGAGAAAAGATTAACTTCTATTATAAAAAAGAAGGACAGATATTTAAGAAAACTGAAGAAAAAGTGTCGAGAAAGAGGTTGCAGGATAAAAGATTTGAGTACTAATATCCAGAAATTTATAGAAGTTAATCATATTTTCAAAGGTACTTATAAATTATTTGGTTTTAAGCAACAAATGAGTATAATTTATGTTTAAGAAAATTTTTGATTATCAATAAGTCATTTATTTGTTTTTAGGTATGTCCCCTCCAGCGGCGCAATTTATGATTTCGCAGATAAGATGCAGCGGAAGACCTCCACACGGCAGAACTTGGACACTGGATGACAAAGTTTTTGCATTAGCCATCTATAAGCGGAGTCCAAAATGTTACTCCTTACTTAGACGACTTTTAGCTTTCCCATCAAAAACTACATTGGCATCCTTATTACAGAAGGTTCCATTTGGTGTTGGCATTAATACACATATATTTAAACATCTTGGGGAATGTCTTAAAAAATATCCTGATAAGGATCGAGTATGTTCTTTAGTTTTTGATGAGATGGCAATTAAGGAACATATTCAATACAACTCTTTAAAGGATTGTATAGAGGGGGTAGAGGATTACGGCAGCTATAGAACCAACAAAGTGGCAAATTATGCCTTAGTATTTTTTGTGCAAGGAATTTCAAGTAACTGGAAGCAACCGGTGGCATATTACTTCAGCAATGGCGGGGTAACTTCTTTTCAGTTAGAGTCACTGTTGAAAGATGTTCTTCGTGCTATGTTAGATGAAGAAATTCCAGTTATAGCAACAGTATGTGATATGGGATCTGCAAATGTGAAATGTTTAAAGAATATGGGAGCTGATACTTTAAATCCATATTTTACATTTATGGGAAGACATATATTCACCATTTTTGATGTTCCACACTTGTTGAAATGCACTAGAAATTTGTTTAAAAAACATAATGTGTTAGTTCCTGCCCTTGCAATTGATGGTTCTGATACTAATCAATTGCTTGAAGCTAGATGGTCTGACTTAGTAACTGCGTATGAAGAAGACAAAAAAAATCCATTCATTTTTAGATGTCTCCATAAAATTAAGGATAGTTACTTGGCACCATTAAGGCAGAATGCTATGAAAGTAAAGGTTGCAGCACAAACACTGAGCCGCTCAGTATCTGTGTTTATCTACAGTCTTATAAGACATGGTAAGATTTGAGATTTTACCTTTATTTTTTCGCTTCTAATAATAGGTGGAGTACAATTTACGATGTATTTAAAACATAAACAAAATTTTGTGATAGATAGATAGATACATGTAGAAAAAGGTGTAGAGTAGAGAGTAGTAAATAATTTGCTAAATATTTTAACATTATTAGGAAATATTAATGTTACGCTGGCAAGTTATTATTACACTTATATTTTAACATCAGATTTCCTTATTTTGTTCATGGCAAGACAACAAAAATAAAAATATTAGTAAGGTTCTCTGCTATACACTTTAGTAAGAGTCAATAATTGTTTTATGTATTTAATAAACTAGTGGAAAAAATTAAGAGATCAAAAAAAAAATCTAAATTTTCGGAGATTTTTCAAATGGCTGTATCTTTGATAAAAATGGTCGTATTGGAGTAAAAAAAAAAGCAATTTGAAGCTTGAAGTTTCTAATTTTTGGATCTTGCAAAAAAAAATGTTCAAGTAACACGTATCGCGCAATCTTTGAATATCATGAAAAAAATTTTTCGAAATTTTTTTCGATCTTATTTTTGGTGGACGCACTTGAAAAAAATTTTTCCATCTTAACCACCTTATGGATTAGATATGTTGTTCATTTAGCTTCAATTTCTTTTTTTTTTTTGGTCTCGATACGACAATTTCTCGGGACTTTGAATGAAACTGGATCATTTTCTCTTTGTTCATCGATATCTCAGAAACCAATAGTTGCACAGAAAGTCGACGGTGGGTTTCAGAAACTCGAATGAATTCTCTACAAGGTCCTGGCACGGTTTTTTAGAAAAAAAAAAAATGTTTAACCGATTTTCAGAAATTTCGCAAAACCGCTGGCATTAGCGTTACCCAAAGCGTACCACGTGCAGGTTGCACGGTCGGATTTACGCTTCTTTTACACACGTGCGAAAAGCGTTTGAAGTTATGACAAAAAAAAATGATTTATTTGAAAATTTTTTTGAAAAATTTTTTCGTTAGATTCACTCCAGAAAATTTATCTCAGTAATCCCCAAGCATTTTCGACACGATTCCCCTTCATTTCGTGATTAGGCTGACCGAATTTTAATTAAATTTAAAAAAGTTGATACCCCTAACCGAATATTGACCTCGGTCTACACTCTTTTCAGAGATTATTGCTGCGATCCTTCTGAATTCATAAAACGCTTTTTCCGAATTTACAGAACACTAAAACAAACAGTTTTTTCAAACCACCTTTTTTCAGTCGAAAAAAAATTTGAATAATTTTTTTTTTGTCATAACTTCAAAGGCTTTACGCACGTGTGTAAAAGAAGCGTAAATCCGACCGTGCAACCTCCATGTGGAGGTGTGGAACATGGAACGCTTTGGGTAACCCTAATGCCGGCGGTTTTGCGAAATTTCTGAAAATCGGTTCAAAAATTTTTTTTTCATAATTTCAAACGCTTTCGGCAATAAGAATGTTACAAAAAATCTGGAAAAAAATGTTTTTTTCATTTTTTTACAGATTATGAGCATTTAAAGGTAAAAAACGTAATCTTTTAATTTTTTTAAAAATTCATCGAATGAAACAAAAAAACAGCTTGATGGATCGAATTGAAACTCTGTAGGGCTTTTAGAGGTACAATGACCTGTAAAAGGCACACTTAAAATTAGTCATTTTCCCAATATTCTCAATGTGGCACGTGATTTTCTAGAAGACCCCTAAAAGTCCTACTTTTTACGATTTTTTAGTCGTTATGGATAGAAAAAAATTTTTTTTCCAAAAAACCGTGCCAAGACCTTATAGAGAATTCATTCAAATTTCTGAAACCTACCGTCGATTTCCTGTGCAACCATTGGTTTCTGAGATATAATGAACAAAGAGAAAATGATCCAGTTTCATTCAAAGTCCGATAGCTCAGCGAGAAATGGTCGTATCAAGACCAAAAAAAAAAAAGAAATTGAAGCTAAATGAACAACCTATCTAATCCATAAGGTGGTTAAGTTGGAAAAATTTTTTTCAAGTCCGTCCACCAAAAATAAGATCGAAAAAAATTTCAAAAAATTTTTTTTCACGATATTCATTAAGATTGCGTGATACCTGCTACTTGAAAAAATTGTTTTTTCCAAGATCCAAAAATTAGAAACTTCAAGCTTCAAATTGCTTTTTTTTACTCCAATACGACCATTTTTATCAAAGATAACAGCCTTTTGAAAAATCGCCGAAAATTTAGATTTTTTTTATCCCTTAATTTTTTCCACTAGTGTATTTAGCAAATTTTAAGACTCTCTTGTACTGTTGTAATATTAATGATTAGTGTAGGTAAATGTTTCAGTTTTTAAATTTTATATCATTCATTTTAGGCATTTTACCATCAAGGGCATTGGCTACAGCTACATTTACCCACGACGTTGACCAATTATTTGACAGCTGCAATGGAAGTTCTAAAAAGGGGCCAGATGGAAAACCATTTAAATGTATGGTAACAAAGCAATCAGGTCATGTGTCTTTCTGGGAGGAAGCTTCTAAAAGAGTTAGTCAGTGGAGATACATTAGAAAACCTCAAGATGTAAATGCTGTAGTTTGCTGGAAGCCACCTTCACAAACTGGCTGGCTACAAACGTTAAGTGCGTTTCAACATTTATGGAGATATTTGCAATCGAAAGGTTTCACAACATTTCGTCCAAGAGCTTTAAATCAAGATGGTTTGGAAAATTTATTTGGGGCAATTAGATCAGGTTGTGGGTGCAATGAGAATCCCACAGTGAACCAGTTCATTGCATCTTTAAAAACGCAAGTTATCAATGGCCTGACTAATCAGGATTTAAGGGGCAGCAATTGCGAAAAAGATCATTTAACTTTATTAAGCAATTTACGATCCTTTTTAGTAGCTGATACTGCGGAGACTGAAGTAGAACCCGTATCTCATCTGCATCCCACTATGCATGAATCTAATGAATTCTTTAATGATCGCATTGCACAAAATGTTGAGCAGCATGTGGTTGTTGGCAGTATTCAGTCATTATCTGTAGCCTGTCTCAGGATTTATTGCCAAAAAAATTTTTGAGAAGTTTTCTTGTCACAGTTGCAAAATAGATTTGTTGTCCGATAATTTAGAACCTTGCAATCAATTTATTAATCTGAGAGAATTTTCTGATGACAATAATAAATTATTTTACCCATCAGAAAAGTTAGTAATTGCAGTAGGACTTGGTATTTCTATATTAGAAGATAAAATGCCCGATTGGCACAAAGAACTTCACCTTAAAAAACAAGCTGTCATTATGCTTGGTAGAGAAATAGATTTTTCTTGGTTGAGGTCCTGTTCCCTACATTCCTGTTATATTATGAATTGTGTAATTAAAAATGTATGTCATATAGGAATCCCATGGTACTGTAAAAGAATTATACGAAGCATGAAATCAGATGCTAAACGACAGGCAACTGAACGAAAACAAAAGAAATTGCGCCATATCTAGGCATGAAAAAAATTGAGTATGAGGGGTAGTAGTAAAGGGGCGGCCTCAGCCTGGCAATTAGGCCACGAGTGGGCCCTTTTCTCCTACCCCGCCCTCCCATCACCTAACCACTCTCTGCCTCTGACCCTCCTCGAACCTACCCGACGCCCTAATGAACGCCAGGATTTTGGTCCATGGAAGGTCTCTCACCTCAACCCCTTGCAGCTCTTCAGCACCTAAGACTTTATGTCTTATTCTCCCAAAGGCTGCACACTGTCTCAGAAGGTGGACAGGGGTGTCCTCCCATTCGCCACATTTCGTGCATAGAGGGTCCTCCTCAATTCCTATTAAGATTAAATGCCTCCTAAGTCTGCAGTGGCCTGTCAGAACCCCCACCATTTGGTTTAGGGCTTTTCGACTGAGGCTCAGCAGCCATCTTGTCTTGGATTTGCTAGGTCCATGTATAAAACTATGGGCCTGCCTGCATCCTCTATTTCTCCTCCAATCCTGACCTAAAGTTTGATAAGGCCCAATTATTGAGGGCCCATTAATGCTGCCTCGTGTGATACCTAAGATTGGTTCAGGTCCCTGTCCAGGTTCCCTGGACCCGAGTATGAGGGGTACTTACACTTACCACCAACAAAATAAAAACCACTATGTACAAGATAAACAATTTTTCCTGAGATAAAGTGTTTTCAAATTCAACTCGAATAAAAATAAAAATTGTTTAACATAAATCTTTTACGTTTCCACTGTTTAGCGATCTTGATTAGTTATCCAAGTCAAGGTTTTAGTGGAATAAAGATATCTTTTATTTATTGATCTGTATC